AAGATTAGATCAACTTGAGTAGGTAACTGTACATGATACTAGCCCAGTTGCATAAGGTTCTCTCCAAATATCATTTAGGAATACAAATTGAGAAGAAAACCATCCTTTATAAAAAGAAATTAACAATAGCTTACATGAAGTAAATCAGCAAGACTAACAGACTTCATTAAATATTGATAATAGGTCATTTTTGCTAGCCTTCTTTAAATATATAAGTAATTGTATCTGTGCAGAAAGGAATTGCTACGCTAGGTCACAGGAGCGGGTCTCAATGAATTCTGAAGAAATATCCTCATAAGATGATCCATGAGTGAACTCTGGGAAGGAGAACTGCATGTCACCCTGTACTGAGATAATCAATTATGAACGGACAGACACGTGTATATCTTCACACGATTTGTATGCCATTACCTTCTTTTGCGCAACTTGCTTTAGCTAATAAATCTTATTTCTGGAAACAAATAGAGTAATTTTAAGCTGGATTCCACTTTCTGGTTTTTGTCAGTAAACTACAGCAGATCTGCACAACATTGTAGTGACTGGTAGGTCAGCAGCTTCCATCTGGCCCAGGGGAAGGACAATGACTCCGTACAGTCACACCAAAAGCACGCAATGAACGGCCTGGTCCTGTACTTCTGTGGTAAGCAGGTGGGACAGTGGACCCCTGCTGTAACAGGGGACAGGAAAAGCTGCACACCGCCCAGCAGACAGCCCAGTTCATTCTCCCTACAGAACAGCCTTCTGCACCAGTTACTGTCCAACACAGCCAATGACAGGAAAAATAGATACCTTCCCTCTAAGTGAGATTATTGGTTTTGAGAAAACAAAAGTGATCCTGGAACAGGTATTACAGGCAAGACATATTTCTAGTTAGTTATTATTGACTGCATTTAATTGTTTGGAAACCTCCTTTTTAAAAATGGTTTTCAATCCTTGCCCTTTGGTGAAACCACCAACATACCATGAAGATTACAGCACCCTAGATACAACCTGATATAAGCAGCATTTTTATGGAGTAATTTTTTGCAGGTTATATATATAAAATACCCAGTTATTTAGAAATAAAAAATTTACCCAGACCTTTAAAATTACTATAAGCAAGCTAATTTAACTGGCAGCATTTAATTCTGCTTCTCTTTACCATTCCATAGCAGAGACAGACAGCAGCAACCAGTTGCAAAGCATCTGTGTCTGGCTAGCACAGAAAATGAAGGGGGAAAACGTTCTCTCAGCTGTGAAGCAGTAGCATTAGCAGGCTGTATATATTTCCCAAGTAGAGATCCATTCCTCACGCACCTACTCTGATTTGGCAATTGCCCTTTGAACGGCAATCCTATTACTTTGAACACTCTCGTTCTCGCATTTTCCAGTCCCTTGTGTTAGAGGGAAAAGCAGCTACCTTTGGATCTGGTCTCCCAGATCTTTGGCACTGAAAAAGATACAAAAGGCTAAGTGACCTTAAACTGCAATGTAATAGCTGGGATGCTGTTCATTTCCTTTGACTTATTGGTATCCATAGCACAACTACAACTAAAATAATAAGAGAAGATAAAAATCCATTTAAGATCAAATTTTAGTAGAGATGCCTATCCGTGGCAGTTCTTCCTCATGGAATATTGGAAGAGACACTGCTTTTTTACTAGGAAAAGCGACAAACAGATGCTTAAATAGGTTCAAGATTGAAAGGGATTTAATTTGGGAATAAATCGTAATTAAATTCTCTTGTTTTCCATCTTGATTCTTTTAACAAAACTCTCCCATGTATAAACTACATGCAAATTCTGTATTGCTTGAGGCTGTGTGGCCTTTTCAGACATTTTTACAAAGAAAAGGCAAGATTTCCTTCCAACATTAAGCACAAAGGAGTTATTTATTGCTCGTTATGTCCACAGAAATAGTATATATAAACACTTGCATTTCCTACTACATTTCATTGGAAAAAAATCCCAGTGCCTGAAGCTAAAAGGCTCCTTTTGATCTAGTAAAAATCCTTATCTGAATTTGCCAGGGAATTCAGCAGAAATATGGAGGATACAGTTTTAAAGCTAGAGGGCTGCAGTTCTGCCTTCACTGCTCATTCCCAGCTCTTCCCACCTTCTGCCTGTTCCTGGCACTAGCGCTCATGCAGTGGCAATTGTGAGTTATTTCAGGAAGCCAGTAACGATGAAGATTAACCTGGAACGTGATCTTTCTGACCAAACCAGCTCCCTGCACAGGTTTGCCCTATGGTCCCATGACTATCAACAGTGGCTCAGGGGCAGGAACACAGCAGTTGAGACTTGGGTTGGCTTACACTGCAGCAAAGTCACACTGTAACTTACTTTCACTCTTCTTAGAGCACGTACTCCAAACCCCAGCTTGTAGCTGTGGAGCAAGACACCACCACTGTGACTAAAACAGACTCCATTGCTCCACCAAGCTAGTCTGCAATCAGCTGTAGATCTTGTGGCTGGCATAGCCAGTAGAACAGATACAAATGAAACAAAAGCATTTTTGTGGCAGAAAGCAGAAATTTCATATCTCTTAGTGACATGACTGCAGAAAGGTTCTTGGCCTTTAACATGTTTTGATAAAGAACGAGATGCAGGCAGCACCTTTCTGTGGAAGTTAAACTAGTCATAGTGTCACCAGAGTGAACTGAGCACTAACCTGCAATGCTTATCAAGCTTATTTTCACTTTATTTAATAATGTGCCTGACAGCAGAATCTCCTGTGTACGCTCCACTACACTTTTATATTTTATGGACTGCATTACAACACGTCCTCCCTCTGCTTCATAAGTGTATTCCCACAGAACCCTATAAAATCCTGTTATATTACTTACATTTCTTGTACATGAATATATTATCTTTACCAAGGTGATGCTAGTAGTCCCAAGGCTAGTCCACAAAGGTTAGTCTCTACAGTCATCTCCCAGGAGATGATGACCTGCTGGCACTACCATGTCCAGTTCAACCGCCCCAGCATTATGTCCTCTGTGCCCCCTTCTCCATGTCAGTGCTAATGTTTGATCCTGGATCTAACCATGTCGGGGAGCTAAAATACCAGAAACTCCCACTCCCCTTCCCCAACAAACAAATCCAAAACATGTCCCCCCGCAAAAAACAAGTGAAGAATTTCTACTGGTTCAGCTGCCCAAGGGTCAGAGAAATGTAAGTTTTATAAATACAGGAGTGGGAACAGAGACTGGTGGAAGGGAAACCTTTTGGCAGCAACTATAACCTCAAATCATACTCCAGGAACCAAAGCTAAGTCAACTATGGAAAACAATCCATTGGAATTTGGGCTTCATTTGCACTGAAGTTCATATAGTCTAGTTTCCCAACATAATACACAGTTTAAGTAAAAGCATAATTTAAAAACAGATCATCACAATTTAAGAAGTTTATATTTGTAGGATAGGTAGAAAAAATTTAATTTCTTTAGTCTAACTGTAGCAGCATAGAGAGCAATCAACCACAAAACAGTGCCAGAAGATTCAAATTTTTAACAAGGTCCCTAAACAGTATCTTTAAAAACAGAACAATAAATACTTTATGCAGTAATCCTGGAAAACACACACACTTTCTTTTGGCTCAGTGCACACATTGCAACAGCAATTCATTAATGTTTTCCAAAAGCCATGCCATTAGAAAAATGTTAGTACACAAAACCATAAAACCAACGCATAATAACAATTTAAGTACCACTGACAACACAGAAGGAAGAGACAGATGGATTCAGGGACTGGCATCATGACAAGAAGAAATACTACTTCCTGTGAAAGTCTGAGATCAAATAGGCAAAATACTTTGGAACAAAAAGCAAAAGAAATCAAAAGTCAACAACTCCAAGAGTTACTGGGTAAAGTTAAAAGCTTGCACTCGTCTGAAATTCATAGTAGATCATCACAGTGGTTCAAAGTTATTGGACCTTCCCCTAGAATACCAGCTCAAAGTTCCTCTAGGATCTCTCTAGCAACAGCCCATCTCAAAACTATGCTCTGCCGTATACATAAACTCTTTCTTTCCTTGGTGAAATATGCAGTTTCCTTCTCACACTTTTTTATATTTTCTGAAGATAACTCATGAGGCCTGTTATGGCTAGAACTTTGTAATCAACTTACTGCCAGAAGCTGGCAAGTTATACACTCCTGTCCCCACACCAGTGAATGATCTAAGCTCAAAGATGAATTCAAGTTCCAGGGTCACTAGGTTTTATAGTAAAGTCACACACAGCGTAATGAATTCATGAAAACATGGTATGCAATAACAAGTATTTTTTCCTCTATCATTTAATATTATGTAAGATGGGAGCTCATTTGAAAGAAGCACACACAAGGATAAGTGAAAAATAAACAGCTGCTAGAGGTTCACAGCGAATTTCAAATAATGTGTTTTTGTATGAAAAAAGTACACTTCACTTTAACAGAAAGCTCCCGTCACCTACAGAACCACGATAGCTATGATTTAACAGCACTGCAATTCATGTCTATGGATAATGAGGACCCATGCTCCTCTTTGGCACTCTGATCTTCTCTACAGCCTGTGCCATGCTCAGGCCTCTCTTCTCCCATCTCACCACTCATTTTGTCCGGATCATTTGAAGATTTGCTTTAAAAATAAAAAAGGTTAAAGTGACACTTGGCAAAGCTAAACACATAGCAAATGTGCTAATATGTTTCGTGTGACAAAGCTATACTTAAATGAAGTTCTGCTTTAAAGGCCTACTTGCACACAAGAGTACTCCCATTCCTTAATGCAATTCTGCTTTGCAGAACATAACTGCATTTTAGACTGACTCATAGCTCTTAGTCTATTCCTTAATTCAATTCTGCTTTGCAGAACATAACTGCATTTTAGACTGACTCATAGCTCTTAGTCCGCTGTGGCTTTTACTTCAAGTTACTGCAGTGGCATGAAAGGTCAGTTCACATACTTGCATAATTTAACAGAAGTTAAACTGTTACGCATAATGAACAATCATTACGTTAGAAACCTGTCAGAATTAGTTACGCTCACCTCTTTATCCATACTCTCTAAATCCTCTTTACATAGAGTGTACAGGGGCATTGTCTCAGACATACTTGGCTGGCGTTTCCGCTTAGATGGACCAGGCTGCTCTTCATTTTCACTGGCTGGTATGTCGTCTTCTTCAAACATCTGCTGCTGATGTGGTTGAACAACTCTGCAAAATTTCAGGGGTCCCGCATAAGAAAGATTTACTTGATTTACAGCTTGTCTAGAAATAAAACAATTTATGACTGCTGAATATCTATGACTTTGCTTAACAGGGTTCTGTATTCATCAACAGAAGAAAGATCAAGTCTGAAAATAAAAGCAATCATTGGGAGTCTGATGGCTTACGTTCTTATTCTACCTTTGACAAGATACTCTCCTGCCTTCCTGTTCTTGTAAAGTAACCATAAAACCTTTCTTGAAGACAAGAGTTTCAGTAGCTGCAGATGCATTGCCCTTAAAATATTTCACGGTTTGTGCTCAAGTGGAGTTTGTCCATCACTTGGCACATTTATCATTCAGGACAATTCTTACATTCTAATATATTTTTCCTGATCTACATTATGCTTGTATTCTTGAGTCTCAAAATACACCTTTCTATTTCTCAACCTTACAGACAAGAGGTTTGCAAGTAGAAAGCTCATTGCTGCAGCCTCAGTCTTCAGACATTTCCCAGATGCTAAGCCTGGATGAGCTGCAAAACAGACCATATTTCTTTCTGGCTAACGTATTCAAATATGGTAGCATTTTCTCTTAGTTTGTATTTTATTACCTCATTAGTTACTGTATTTAACTGGAACACGCAGATACAAAAAGGAATGTCAAAATGTTCATAAAAATGGATAAAATAATCCTATCTTCACAGGAATTGCTTTATAATAGTAATAAAAAGATAAAGTACATCTAGAACAACAGCAGGAGACTTCTACCTTTCCAGGGTAACTTTTTTTTCTGTGACTATTACTTAACCATTAAAGACTTGGAGAAGCTAAAACTGCTACACAATACAGTGTAACTATGAGCACTGGGCTGTCACAGTAACCTCCTGGAACACATTACAGCAGCTCAGCACCAACCAGAATCCTATTTAAAGATCTTGGGTCATAAAGCTCATGGATCACAAGTTAGTTATTTCAGCCACAAGACTGCGGGGATGTGTGGGGAATGATTACCACAAGCAAGTATAAAAAAGTGACTGTATTTGAAATCACAAGCTGTTTCAAGTTGTAACTACCAGGTGAGACACCATCAAGCTGTTTCTAAGGGTGGTGGCGATTAAGAAAGGGTACAATGTGGTCTCTGCTGACAAGAGTTTTAGCGCAGGACGGCTGCTTCTCATCAAGCCTGAATTTTCAAGAAACAGCTTTTAGATCAGCAGCCTCACCCAAAAAATCCATTATTAAATTATGTAAATCCAGTCACAAGTAAGGTTCTACAAAATCGTTTCTCCTCCCATGAAATTGACAGCTGCTTAAGAAGGCCATCCAAATATCCAGATTTTTTCCTACACCAGTACCTCAATCCCAGAATGTATGAAATCTGAAAGCCACACAAAGCTGTCAATTGAGCTCATTTTGAGGACTCATATTTCCTAAATACACATCTCTCTCCTCTCAGATCCCATGGATAGGTGTAGGAGATGTGAATTTATTTTTTGAATTGGGGGTGGTGGGGGAAGAGCGCCAAGCGATTACTGTGCAACCCAGAGCTGCGCTATCTGCTGCGGAAGACTTCATGAGCTCAGCACTACTCAGCGATGCAGGAGAAATGTTCCCCTTTGCTCTGTGTCTGTACACTGTACATTGGAATTTCCTATGAAGCCAAAATGACAATTTAGATGTTGTGGAAATGAACTAACCAAACTGTTTTTAAGATGTGACAAAAATCTTTAACAGAACAGTTTTTTGTTCCCCCCCCCCCACTACATGTTTCCTATTTTACAAGATCATACAGTTTTCTTTTGCTATTAAACTCTCTCAGACAGTAATTTTCATACGTAAAAGAGAAAGAAGAGAAAAATACAGCATTCCACTATATTTTCCAAAAGGATCTTTTAAAATACAATTTCCATGCCTTTTTAATAGGTACCCTAGCCAAGAGAAAGGTGGTGATGCTGTTTATAGTCTTAGTAAAACAGAGAATGACAAAGCCAAAAGTATAAACATCTTACATACCTGCATTAAAAACACAACAAGCTTGACCATGCCAAGAATTATACCTCAGTTATATGTAGCAGGCAGCTGAGCAGATTTTCTTAGACTAGTGCTAGTATATTTTTTTAAGAACATAATATACCAATGACAGTGAGAACTCCTCCTTTTTCAGTTTCTGTATCATTGCATTCTTACTTATATTTTTTATATGAACACTTTAGAGAACATCACACTCACCCCAATGGGTGGCAAAGGCAGGAATTATTTTGCATCACTATTAAATAAAAACTGTATTGACAGTTTAATTGTGGAGATACTGCATCCAAGACTAGGCATAGCTATGAACTTCTTATTTCTGCATATTATTGCTTCAGAGTAATTACAAGTCTCAGGTTAGTCTTGCAAGTCTCCACCATTGTTAAAAAAAATAAAATACCCCCTCCCCAAGAATGACACGTTAGATCATCCTTGATCACATTACTATACACAAATATTAACTGTAAAATAACTGTTTTAATGGCTTTTAAAGGCTTTTGTCAGATTTTTTCCCCCCAATATTTTCCAACTGCTACTAGATAAGAAACACTGGGACTTCTCAAAGCATTCCAAAGAGCAATATAAAACAAAGACTTCTTTAAGGTTTGTAAGAAACATTTTTATTTTATCAAAGACATTTTTTAGGCTTTACATTTTCAGCTGCTGTTACGTTCGTTAAAATTTAAAGACATACAAATGCAGGAATTTCCACTTATTTCTAATCAGATGAGATTCATGAGTACTTTTTAAAAAATAACACCATATTCAACCCTGCACAGGTTGGTTGGCACTTGCCAGTCTCACACGCACAAGGACATGCACGTGGGCTAGAACTCACTGCATGCAGGGTGGGTTCAACATTTGTTGAAGTAACAAGCATCTTAACACTTTCATTGATACAGCATCAGGGCAAAAGCTAAAATAGCACTATTATCATGAAAATGTTAAAAATATTTAAATTCCATTGATGATTTCAATTTAGTACTTCATATTTTTGCTGTCACAACAAGACTGATAACATTAGATAGGAAAAATTCTAACAATGGGCATATACATTAAGACACAAAAATTTTAAGTGAAATTAATTTATAGGAATCTTAAAGAACTGCTTCAGCCACCAACATCTGCTTGACACACCTTTTCAAACCAAATATTTGGTATATCTTAGCATTATTTAAAACGAGAGTGCCATTTTTAACTTCTCACATGTAAATTATATCCATATTTCAAGCCTTGCTTCATCTGTTAGTATATTATTAGCGTTCACTAGAATTTAACTTGTAATATTATTTTTTCTTTATTCTAGTCCAAAATGCCATTAGCATTAGCTTTTTGTTTTTTTGGACAACACTGCATTACACATCTCATGATCTGTTACAACTTTAGCATTTACTGTAATGTTTGTAGAATACTGTTTCTGTATGAAAATGCAAATTGTTGAGATACATACAGAGCGTCAAAGCTCTGACACACAGGTTATTTTTAAAGAGGAATCGTTCCTGTTCTCAGAAAAGAGCTCCTGCCAGCTGCCAGCAGCCACTGAGCAGCACTGCATTCCCTTCTTTTCCCTTCTAGTACAGCCGCAAACTTTGCCACTCTTCTGCTCAGGCTGCGACCGCCATGACGGAAGGCAGGCGTTCAAGTTTCACAGAGCCAAGCACAATGGTAAGATCTATGCCTGTCACACAAAACACTGACCAAACTAACTGAACCATCTCTAATTCACTGGTGACAGTTTCACTGCAAAATGCAGGCAGATATTTAAACTAAACATTTTAAATTACATTTCAAGTTGAATCCCAGAAAGAAACTAAAAACGTTCAACCCAAAATAAAAAAGTGAGAACTGAAGCAGTTCTTATGAAATGTTACTCGGATAACTGGAAGCCTTGCTCAGTATGCAGCCTTGCAAGAGGTTATCTTTAAGGTCTGTTCTTAGAATAGTGAGAGACCAAGTACCATTGCTACGCGACACGCTGTTACCATCTCCCCAAGGGCTTCCTCTCCCACCAGTACAATTTTGTTGCCCACTGTCTGAAATTCAGAATCAGATGAAGTTTTTAGAAACTATTAAGGAAGATTATTGGAGGCTTTGACTACATCCGTCCACAACAGGAGCAGCTGTGAGTGTTAATAGCTTTAATTCTGCTTAAAATCAATGGCTTAGTCACAAATGCTCTCACCTTTCTGTAGGAGGTAAACATACGAGCACAAAGTCTGTCAGGACACAACATTTACTGCCCTCTACCAAGAAATTGCTGCACTAAAGTAATTATCTCTAAAGTCAAATACCACATCAATTTTTAAATTGGATGTGAAGGGTTTTTTTAAAATGCTATCATTGATGTATGCATTAAGACAAAGCAAGGTGATGATACAGTACTTCTACCTCAGCTCTTGCTCACTCCAAACAGAGCAAAGGTGTTTCTATTCAGCTTTTTGTTACTTCTTTACAGCCTTCGTGCTCTGCCTGCACTGTACTTCCTAGCCATTAAAAGTACTTAATACAGTGATCAAATACAGCTTTGCTTTCCTCCTGGATTTTACCAAGACACTCCTCACCACCTTAATTGAAGGTAGAGGAACTGCTCTGAGGAACACAGACAGGCCCAATTAAGAGATCAGTGTTTACAGGTCACTAATTTCACCACTAGAACAAAATCACCAGGAAACAATGATGAAAATACTATTTTGCAGCATATATCTTATGCTAATCTCTTTTCTTACAGCTTCTTAGTTATGGGGTGAAGTTGCATCACTAAGTAATTGGATTAACTTTTCTAGATTAAAGCATCTCAACCCTGAGCACTGATAGTCAAAAAAATGCTTAAGTGAAATAAAACAAGGAAGTACAATCTTGCTCCACTCCCAAAAGCTGTTTAGGCCTCTAAGAAACTCAAATAAGATGACAGCTGAAGTATATTTCTCTCCTTTTCTATAAGATGTTCAAGTGAAGAAGCACCTGTACATTAAAGAAAAATAGGCTTACGTGTGGACATAACTCTACCTTAGGTTGTTGACAAAGGTAGAACAAATATCAAAACCTACTCTTTTTAAAGCGTTGAATGATGCATTAATATCAACATAAACCATCATATTGGAGCATCTTAGAAATGTCATGACAATTATATACATGTACAACCCTCCCAGCTCTATTTCTAGACAAATTTCTTCCCACTAATACCTGACAAACAAAACAAAAAGCTTTTCAGCTCTTCTCTGGATACATGTTGTGTTCTGATTATTTACAGTTTGTCCTGTTCATTTAACATGTCTAGTAAAGCAAAACACAGGCTTTGAAAGACACAGGTAAAAAGGAACTGAAAACAAGATGTCTTCACAAACAAGAGAGACTCAAAAAAATCTGTGTTGACAGAAACACGGAAGCTGAAATAAGAAAAAGCTTATAAAAAAATGACAACTGAAAAAAACCATAGGTTAAAATAATTTAGCAACAGGAAGATAGAGTGGAAACATAACAAGCTATGCTAATACACAAAACCTTTACAAGTGATACACTGCAAAAGCGGTAGGGGAGAGAGAAGAAAGGCAGAAAACTGTGCATTTGTAATTGTGCTTTGTATTTTTGTAGTTGCTTGGAAAAGTGAATTGCTTTGTAACAACTGCTATACTCTGAACACACTGTACAAAGGAATTTTGATCACATTTTACAATGAGGAAAGCTTCACTTTCAACTGGATACTTCTTTACCACTGGAGTCAACAAGCCTTGCTAAATTCGTTCACGTTCCAGAAAGTTAGATCTTTTACATAGATACTTAGGGATGAATTTTAGATATTTTATGCACCTTAAGAGATGTGTCATCTTTGAAGCTTAACCAAATCCACAAATTTTGACAAAGTCTAGATGCTAGCCTTTGTACTTCAAAAAGCAGGCCGCCTCCTTTTCCTGCTACTTTAGTGTCTTGATTTAGTGACCTAAGGATTATTAGCTAGTGCTCAGTCATATGGCCTTATTTAATAATACTCAGTTAGCTACACTCCTCTTCCACCACTTCTGATATTCCTCAAAACAAAACACAAAGCTGATGTCCCATCTGAAGGAATTAGGTGAAGAGGAAAATTTTACAAAACAAAAGCCAAATGCTATTAGATATATTTTATATACAGAAAACCAATCCAGTGTTCTAAGACTCATTAAAAAAACATTAGACTGCCTTGCTTCAGAGTTATTCTAACAGTCTTTAAATTACATAAACTACATGCTGCATTTATTTGTTCTGAGGTTTTTAGTCGCACTTAGGTGAGGCACAAAAAGCATCTGGAATTCTAGCATCCTGATTTCACTTCAGCTGATTATTCACTTTCACACATTTCCTCGGTTTTTTAGAAAGCAAAGTAACTAAAGCGAAGATGACAATTTGATCAAATGCAAAGATAACAAGAGTTAAATTTACTACAGCATCTGAAAATATAGTTGAAGTCACTCTTAGCTATGCTTTAGGTACCTGAAGGACGAGTGTTCACCGTGGACTGGTAAGGTGATGGGAGGAGCTGGAGACTGGATGTACATGGACTGGCCAGAGGTCTGAGCACCTTTCCTGATTAGCTTTCCAGTATTAGGATCATAAAGTCGAACTTCAGGACCAGGTTGAGACTTTGGATGGATGGGTGTTGGGTGAAACAGAGCTGTCTGAAATGTGCTGTGTGTATCAGGAAATGTGGCAGGGCTGTTCTCTCTGTTGGATGAAGTTGACAAAAAATTGCTTTAGAAATTTAAATGAGCTATTTAACTAGAATGTAAAAAAATGAGCATTCATTTTTTCTAAAAGAGAAAGAGGGGGAAAAGAATGGTTTGGAAGACTTACAAAGAAATATTTCTTCCCCCCCTGCCCCCATTAAAGTCTCACTGAATTTAAAACAGAAAAATGCAAAGATACAGATAATGTCATATTTACATTATTAAAAATTATTAAATGTGCCTTAAAAGTGTCTTAACATATAAAGTTACTGACATTGCTTCCGGGTAGTAACAACAGCACAACTAGAGTAGCATCATAATCTGCATTATACAACAAAGAGAAAAGTACGCCATTGTATCAGATCTTAGTATTTGCTCTCCAACTTGGCTCTGAGAGAAAATAAACACAGTATTAATTTGCAAGTCATACAAACTCATTTGTTAAAATACTAAGCTGCCTATGATCACGCAGCTGTATTTTAAAACATAATTTTAGAAGTATCAGCAGAAACATCCAGAGATCAGTCTGCAGGAATCACCATTACAGCATACTATCCAATTATGATGCAATGCCACAAAAAAAGGAAGCAAATTGAGTCCTTAAAAAAAAATAAATCAAATAAACCAGCATGTTATGCACCATGAAACCAACACTATAGAGAAAACAATTAAACTATATTATAACACATATTAGAAATGCCACAAAAGTGGAGTTTTTACCATATGCTTTCATCGGCGTTTCTGAAGTAGCCTTCTAGCATCAATACTTAAAGTCAATCAATTCCAAGTTTACTTACTCTTTTTTGCTATAATTCAGATCATTTTATATGCAAATATTTTCTCAGAGTTCATCCCTTACCCTACTTCATAAGTGCATTGGACCAGTAATCGCTATTTGAAGCGGCTTCATTAAGGAGAAAATCTTTTCCAAAGAAGTTGTACATGTTGGGTTAATAAAGTAAAAGCATTTGCATTAAGACAGATGTCTTACTGACTGAAATTGGGGGAGGGCAGGCGGGGGGGCGTGGAGTATGAAGTTAAGGTATATTGTATTTGAAACACAGAAGTAGGAAAAATTATCATTGTGTTTCAATAAAATGGAAGAGTGAATTAAGACACGTAGGAAGACCAATATTCATCTAGACATCAAAAATGATGCTTACAAGTCAGTGTCCAGATTTCTACTGAGAACTTGGCAGTGTCAGGCCTCTGTGACAAGTTAAACATCCCATACAAGCATTCCAAAGTTTGATTAAAAAAAATAAATCTAATAGCTAGCACATTTTAAAAATAAAGTATTCTAGTCAAGCCATAAGTAGGCTACATCTCTTTCCTAAGTTTTAGACATCCTGGGTCTCTATGTAGTCTCCCAGCCTCATTTCCAGACGTTTCTACTTTTGGTGTCTTCAGAGCATTTGACAACTTTACATACACATGTTCTGCCCTCAAAGGGCTAGCATCTTCTAAGCAAAAAGCAAATCTCTAGCTTACACAATCACATCACTATCAGTTTAATACAGAAAACCCAATATGCTATGCCCCTTCCTCTCTAAACATAGAAGGGAAGGTCCTCCATTAGGCTTGCAAGATGCTATTAATGTGAGTTTATCTAAACAGGTAAGATGTGAAGCAGAAGCTGGCTTGTTACGAGTTATTTTAGCCATAGCACTTTCCTAAAGGGGACTGTTCTTAATAGCCCTCTGACTTCCTCTGTGTTAATAGAGTTTTTGGCTGTCCCTTCTATCTGCTGTCCTAGTGCACCGATTATATTTAACCCTCTCTCCTTCAACACTTTTTCTTATAATGCCCAAACCTCCTGTTCTCTCACTACCCTTCTTCCAGTTTTTGCTTTTACTTCATGCCTTCCAACCCCCCCTCTTAGATTTTTCTGCTGTATTTTTCTGTTTGTCTCATCACTACCAAGTCTCAGAAAAAATACCATACTTTATCAATTTTTCAGATTGTGGGAGTGTGTACATTTTTAAATTCATTTGGCAGCACAAATGATCCTGTGCCTTGGTGGCATTCCCTGTGTGAGTTTGCTGACGAACTGACAAGGTCACCTGCTCCAGCTGAAGGCTAACAATAACAATTGTTAAAGAAACTACTGGTACCCCAGGTTTCTCCTGATTCTGCTACCTGCCGAACTGCCTCCCAATCCCTTAACAGTCTTCACTTTATGCAGTGTAGAAATGGCCAAAAAATGGAGGGTTCTTTCATAAAAATCTATAAGCACTGCACATTATTCTGAATTTGTCAGAAACTGATTTTATAGCTGCATTAACAAGTTAGCGTAACTGTATGAATAATCTATTTTCATGACCCCTACTTCACCAAGTTCCCACTTACCTGTGTGTTTTGATGTAGTCATAAGTTCTTCAACCTTGTCCCAGCGCTCAAGGCAGCTCCACAGCCAATCGGGGTTTACAACGTGGAGGTCCTTGCAGTCCTGAGCCTGCCGTACTTTTTCTGTGCCTATTACGAAGTCAAACATAATGTTACAGTGTTCCCAGAAACACAGAGGATACTTTTAAGCACACACTGGTTTAAGAAGAACATTTTGTGATCAATCTTACAGAAAAAACAAACACCTCTCCCCAGTCCAACAAAACAGTCACAACTGATAAAAGTGAGACCTCTAAGATGCGATAACCTTGGTCTCAAGCTGGATGAAAGTATTTGTAACTTCCTGAAGCACTGGCACTGTGGAAGTAGTCCACTAAAATTAATCCATACTGAAACCCTCTACATCTCCATGTTAACTAAACAAACAATACAAATGCACTTTTGTATTTCTTCTCCTTCATTTCTATTTGTCAGTCTAAGCAGCAGTGACTCTTAAATGCCGTAAAGCCTAACATTAACTTAACATACTAACTTTCTTATGCACAGTCCCCTGTACACAGAGTATGCCCCCTTTTAACAGTCAGCCACCCACTCAACCTCCATTTGCCAGAAGCAGGGGCAAAGCAGACAAATGGATTATTTCGTGCCAAAGGAAATGTGAAGTTAAGTGTGGCAGGCCTGCACACATGAAACCATCAATAATGCAGCATGCAGATAACAGGTGATCTCAAATTCCACCCTCCGGAGAAGCCAAAATCAGAGAGAAACTCAGTAAAGTTGCTATAAATCTTTGTCAAGAAGCATCAAAACCAGTAAGCAAAAAAACCCCCTAGTAAAATAAAGGTTGAAATTAACCTTGAAGTACTCTGTTCCTAGAAACAGCTGATTGTCCTAAAGTTTCAAGAATGTATTTCTTCTGTTTGATTAGAAAAATTAATTTTACCAATCGTGGTACTTGTTTCAGCATTTATCAAAGAGGTCTATGGAAGGACTAAACACTTGGATACAACACAAAATTGTATAATCTGCCAATAAATCATTAAATATATATACAAGAGAGAAAACCCCCAAGGATTCTGACCTGATATAACTATGCTTGACACTTACGCATGGTATTTTTACACTGAACAAATACCGGTGTAGCTGGGATGTAACAAAGGAACTCTCATCAATCTGACAGTGTCTCATACTGGAAAGCCATCACTCTTTTGTTATATCCCTATAATTTGTAGCATTTCATCTTATTTAGACATTATTTAAAATGCTTATCAAACCTAATCAGTTGTCCATATTCTGTCTTGGTGCAAAGACATTTAAATACATTTAACATTGCACTACATTTTTTTGTTTAATAATGTGAAATAAAAGGAGACCATCAAGAAATAAAGGCAGGAGTCCAAAGGCCCTGGGGTTTCTTCCTGCAGATACTTATATAAAACATTCCAGTCTAGTTAACTTTATTAACAACAACAAAAAAAAATCCTAAGTTTTTCATTTTTTTAAAGTTTATTTAAAGTTAGAATTTATGAGCCCTTGTCTATTTACACACATGTGCCTTCAGGAATGAAGCCTCCAGAGGAAAAAAAAAATAAAAAAAAAATCACATTTCAGAACAACTCTGACAAGAATGCAAGAACAGCAAATTAATTTGATGATTTCAACAATAGTTCCCTGGAGTTTTATCTGCACAACTGTCATTTAACAACACTACTTTACTTATTTCAATGGAGATGAAAGTCTTGAAGTACCCATACTTCTCCACATCATTTGAAGATGAGAGGAAACAGTTGATAGCAAATACCTAAAAGCCTGTGTACAACCTGAACTAGAATCTACTGAGGCAGACAGATCAACTGAAATGCACTTGAGGATCGACCTAACTAGTTAGCCAGTTCACTTTCTAGGCTTCTGTAAACTTGAAAGACTAAACAAACAGAAAGGGCAGAAGACGATTGTCCTTCCAGCACTTTGGTAAAGCATCCATTTCCCTACTTTTCTTCCCCCAAACCCAACAGAATACAGGAGTAGGGCTACCTTTTCCTCTCTCTTTAGATAGAAATACTTTTTTTTCTTGCATTTAGATTAAGAAAAAAAAGTCCTGTGCACAAATAGATTTTTTCTATTTTCAGCAGCAAATGCAAGCAATTCTAAAGCTCAGGATTTAAGAGCTGTATTGTAAATGTAGAACTTCTCCCCACTAGTATCTTTGCAATAAACCAGCATTAAGAATCCAAGACAAACACAAAAATGAGTATTTAAAGATAAAGCCCCTTCCCAAACACAAATTATTTAGAAATGCCATATTTTAAATTTTGCCATGCAATAAAAACCACTGTCCAACAAAGACTCAACGAAAACAATTTTAGAACTCCAACCCAGCACACCCCTTTGCTGTTCAAGAGGTTTTAACTGGCTAAAAAGCAAAACTCTAAGAAGGAAGGTCAGTGCACTCAGATCATTCAGGTAAGATCATTTCCTATGAGAAATCTGTTTTCCAATTTATCATAACTTGCAAAAGTAATCAGCAACCCAGAGCACCTTCATGCAACAGTTGCCGGAAATAAGCCAGCATTTTACAGTGCCAGAGGGAGCTTCCACAGGAGTTTTTATTGTTATTTATATAACCTCAAGTAGGAATAGTAGAAATACCTGCAGTTAGAAACAGGTAAGTATAAAGCTGTATTTAATTTATACACTGCGTATGTTTCAAAGGAAAGAAAGCACAGGTTCTGAGGGAAGAACTGGGGGGAAAAGGATTAAAAAAGAGTGAAAGACTTGGCAAATGCTTTCTTTTGAGAATAAAGGAGAAAATCAACGACAACATAATAAGAACAAAGGAGTGTCACATTAAAGGGTAAAGAAATTTAGCATGAAATAAACCCCCTTGCGTTCCAGCTTGTCCTCAGATATCACAGGGGCTGGGGGAAACAGGGCTTAGATTCTGGGTGATGTCCGGTCATGTTCAATATATTGAACTATCACAATTACAGATGCATTAATAGTGCAAGGCACCTTCAGTCTAGTCATGTTCAATAGACTAGCATGGCCATACTTGAGGAGTTTGGTTGCATCCAATGAGAACTCTCACGGCTAGATTATTAAATGGTACAGTTTATGGAAGCAAAAGTAGTATAGGTTCTTTTGGACTGCCGGTGATAAATACACTGTCTGCAAAGCACATGCAAGTACTAAGAATATGAATAATATAGTCGACTGCAAATACATTAAATTATGAAACAACTCTATAGAGATTTTCTGAGTTTCCTAGGGAAGCAGTCAATATAGCTGAGTGTTCAAATCTCACCCAACAGGTGTCCCTAAGGGGAGGAAAAGACAGGTTCAGCCTGTTGACTGATCCCAGAAGTCAGCAATGTCCTCCTGACTTGTCTGTAATGGTATCTTCCTTAGCATCCCTCTCTCAAGCCATTTTTATACTATTTTCTTACTTTCGGGTGGAGCTTGAGCAACTCTAGTCATACATACCTTTGTTATGATTGGTGTAAAACCTTCTCATTTTGATTTTAAAGTTACAGACTTAGAGAAATTCAGAGTGCATGTTCAGTGAGGGGTGGTCGCACTTTGGAGGCAGGTAGCCTTTGGGATGGAGGTATATTTTAGTATTATAATGAGATTATAATGAGCAAGGTTCAACCAAAGGACATGATTTCAACAGAAAATAGAATCCTGCTGCCCCAGGGTAACAACTATGCAGTTTATCAGTTCCACAGTACCATCAAGTTCCCATCCCTGCAGTGTTATCATAAAGCTTGGCCGTGGTGTCCCCACTCCGCTCCATCCCCTGTAGATGTTGGCAAGCACCAGGTGTGCTGACTCTGAGAAAAACCAGAGTCAGCACACCTGGTGCTTGCCAACATCTAAGGTTGCAGGTCATGTTGCTTATGGAACAGATTCTTTGCATATTCAGCCTTGAAGTCTACTCAACACTGCTTTAGTCTCAATAAGCCACCTCCAGTAATTACTTCACAAGGGATAAGACGACAGCTATTATAAAGAGGATGCTGAAATCAGGTTCATAAACATAGGAGTTTCAGAGGAAAAAAGCAACAAGAACAAGAAGTCCAGTGGAAGTTTAGATACTTGTGCCTGATACTTGATTCAGTATCTAGTACCAGACACGACTAGCAATACTGTCCTGCACATAACAACTCTGGAGCTGACTGAATACAACACACAATAGCATGTAATTTCACTAGCAAGCATACAGAACAGTTAACTAGAGATGATGGTGCTACTGGATAGACAGACTGTGCTTATAAAACCCTGAAGAAAAGCTTATCTGATACTGTAGTACATCTGTTCACCCAACTAAAAGATATTGCTGCTCCTCTTGGACTTCGTCAGGGGAAACCTGAACAAAACCATAAAACTGCACCTTCATCTCATGTTAAATCTGTGAAGTTATGCAAGAAGATGGCTTCCTCCAACTCTGTATTGATGATTTGTCAGATGCTTCACCTTGCTGCCTGTTCCACAGACATACACATTCTGCATTCACGCATATCTGATCATTTCATACCGGATGTGACGACCTAAGTAAATTCTTCTTCTAGTCAACAGGATTGCAACGGAAGCCTTAAACATGAAAGCCAAAATAGCACTATTTTGTATGAAACTGTTATGGTTCTGAAACAACAGCTCTGAAAAGTACAAGCCATTAACATAAAATTAAAGTTGACAACATGAAGACCAGCATGTAACCACACCCAAAGCCTCAGCTTCCTCACCTCTGCAAGATGAAGTTTTTCTGCTTCCTCGTTTCTAAAGCACAGCTGCCTACTGCACACACCAGCATATTGAAAAATCACATGAGGTAATACAACAGTGTAATCTTGGGCACTGCCTTGTATTTCTAGCTGACATCTTCACAAATCAAGATTTCACATGTATGATGTTCTTAGAGCAAGATGTGGTGGAACGCCAGATTTAACTGGGTAGGAGAAATAGTACTACAATACTTAATGTCCTTGCCTTCTCCTCTCCCTTTCCTCAGTATAACTTCCCTTTTTGGAAGTATGCTTAAGAAGAAACAGCAGAAAGGATTTTAATCTATCCAAGTATTTCTGATGCAGTTAGGAACGTCTGAATCATCCAGCTAGGCTGAAAAAAAA